CTTGTGACAGGAAAGCAGATTACCTGGCCTGCTTTCATTGTCAAGCTGCTGGATAGAGTGATAAATGGCTCTAAGGCTCATGCCAGACCTTATGGGTTTATACTGACAACTGTCTTGGACAAGTTAGATGTGCCATTGGAAAAGTGGGAGATGGCCTCCAGCAAAGAGTACTTTGGAAGCAAAACTCTGCAGGCTTGTGACTATCTGCTAAGTGTAGCCCCAGTTGAACCTTGTTCATCCTTGAAGACTCCTGTGAACAGCAAAGTTAGGGCATTGGTTCTAGAGTGTGGAACAAAAGATGCTGAAATTGCTAGGCTCCACGCTCGCATTGCTGAACTAGAAAGTGAAAGAAATGGTCTCAAAGATGAGCTAGCAAAGGAAAAAGAAAAGAGTGAAGGGATGCTCCAAACAATGCTCAATCTCCTTCAATCCCAACCCTCTAGTTTCTCCAAGCCCTAGAACCAGTTTAGAAACCCCTTCAGTGACCCAGATTCGGGACTTTTCTCTGTTTTTTTTTCTCATGGTTGGATGTTTGTTTTTCTTTTTGTGGTCTGTTTTGTAGAAACATCTCCTAATCAATGACTATGTGCTTTGTTTTCTCTTGTTCTATGAAACTTCTGATCTTAATAGTTAAATTTCTGTGACGCTGATTATTGATTAACTAAATCATGTTTTCACTTGCAGTTGCCCCAGTGGTCATGAGTAATAATTAACATCTGGGATTCAAATAAAATGCAACTTTTCGATGATGCCAAAAGGGGAAAGAGATATTGTGCTTTACTTTGTATTCTAAAAAATGTGATGTTTATAACCTGATTAAACCTGGTCCTTAATGATAAGTTAAATTAAAGTGTGAAAATTAAGCTGAGTTCCACAGGGTCTCTGATCAATAAAAGCACAGAGTTTGTTATCATCAAAAAGGGGGAATTTGTTGGCCCAAGTTCAGATGAAGTTTTGAAGATTGACAAAATGAACTCAGTCATGAATCAGGTCCATCATGTGAGACAATGTGTTGATATGCTTACACATGTGACATACGTGTGAAGAAGATAAGTCTCAAGGATCAGCAACAATATCTTCTGAGTTGATCGAAAACGTTGCATAGGATAAGGAGTTGAAGTCTCCTTATGTAAAGAGAACTACATCCGGATCAAGGATAAGGATTGGAGTTTGAGTTGTTCTAGGACTCGAATTTGATGAAGGATCAGCAATTCGATTTTTAATCAAACTCTGATTACTAACTCTATAAATAATAATGATTGTTCTCTTTTACAGGTGATTGCACATACGCAGAAGTTAAACTAAATTGAGAGCAAAAGAGCTAGGCGAATTCTGCAAGCAATTTGAGTGTGATTCAAGTGTGCAAATCTGAAGCTACATGAACCAAGAGTGAAGAATCAATTCCATTGTGTTTTTCTTTATTTCTAGTTCAATTGTAGTAGGTTTTTCATATTGTACCTTTCAGCTTTTATAGAAGCAATTGTATTAGGTACTTTGAGTATTCAAGTTAGAGTTAACTTGAAGGTGTCGCAACAGTTGAGGCTGTGTGCCATACTGGGATTACAGTTTAATCCTTAGGTTTACAAGAGTTTGTAAATGCTGTTTTGGCTCAGTGATTTTAGTGGAAGTTTGGGAAAATCCTACTGAGTAGTAGGCCGTGGTTTTTTCACCTTTTGAGCCAGGTGTTTTCCACGTAAAAATCTTTGTGTTCTTTACTTTATGCACTCTTAATTCTGCAAACAGTCATAATAAGTACATCTAGAAGAACTAGGTTCTTCTAGTGCAAAATTAGGTACCACACAAATCACCCCCCTCCCTTCTTATGTGGTATTGACGTTTAGAACATCAACAAGTTTGAACAATTTCTAAATTATAATATTAAGATTTTTATATCTAACTAATTAACCAACAAATATTATAAAACGGTAAAATTATCAACTAACGAGACAAAGGTTTGGAGACTAAATTAAGGAGGTCTAGAGTTATGATTTCCCCAATTGTTGATTTCATTAGTTGTATGTTTCTTATAGCTTTGACTTAGTTGCCTCTATCAATCATGAACTCTCCAGCTATCATAAATCTCTCTCAAGCAATTATGATAATTTACTAGAGGCGCTCTCTCAAGCTACACTAGCTAGATTCACATTACAGTTCACTTAGATCGCACCCGAGGTATCGTTATCTCTAATCCAACCTCTAAACCCTCGGTTATGACTCTCGCCTATACTCCGGGAGTGATGTTGTTCAAATAACTACCTAAATATGCACTCTCTCTCAAGCAGATACATAATAAATAGGAACGGCTAATTGAGGATCCTTGCAATTAACCAAAATCAAAATGTAGTTGAACAAATAGAGATTAACAACTAACTCAAAACTATATTAATATAACAACCAATTCATCCCCAAAAGGTTCCATCAAAACCCTAGAAAACGAATTAGCTTTTCATAAAAGTATGTGAAAACACAATACTCCAATTCATAACCAACAATAAAATAGGAAGAAGAAGGAAAAACTCATTGAAGAATTCCGCGCCTTGCTCCTATTGTGTTCTTGACTCCTTAGGTCGAATCTCCGGTCTCCTTAGCCTCCTTAGGTCTAAATTATGTCAAAAGTATGTCCAACTCTCTTAAAATACCGTTTTTCCATGTATATATACCAAGTAGGGTCGAGCCCAAACAATTATACCTTCTCCTATGCGAAAAAGGACAATATTTCACGTCTGGACTGCCGCGGCCACGGTATACCCCGCGGTACTCTGCGGTATACACTGCCTCAGCTCCGCAGTCGCGGTTTCGACGCATTTTTCACCCTGTTCCATTTTGAATTTGGAAACACGTAAAACATGAAAGTTGTAGCCCGTTGATTTAGCTTTCCAACCATATATTGTGGAGCCCAAATGGAGTTCTGAGCAAAACGTTATGTCTATTTTACTAGACAGTGCGCAATATGCCTCCTCGAGTCTTCGTTCGTACTTAATTATCAAATTTGACCCCCGAAACCGATCCCGGCTTAATTCCTTGAGCTCTTACTCAGAATTCAAAGCTCCAAATCACTTAATTGTATTCTATAACATCTATATAGCTCGGAATCACTCCTACAAGGCAAAAAACACACCGTTAGTGCAAAACACTAGCGATTAAAGCGCAAACTCAACTAAAGTGCAGTAAATTAGAGTGTAATAATCGACTAAAATACGTAATTATAGTCTATCATCACTTTCCTCTTTTCCTCTCCGTTGCCTGTCATGTCAGATTCGTGCAAACAAGGGAAACACCAGTTTTTGCAAAGTTTATGCGCTTTTCTTCTCAGATCTAGAAGAGACTTAATTTTAACTAGAAATTCCCCACAGACAACGCCAAATTGTTTGATCAAAAAGTCTTGAACCTTTTTGTTAAACTAATTATGTGAATGATGATAGGTAGATTCTAGTTAAATATAATAAATTCTAGAGCCAAGATTGGTAGGAAATAACCACTTAGAGATCGTATTTAAAGCTATTTAAAGCCAAAGAGTGGTTTAATGATGTTCTTATGAACAAATGAAGAAACGAAGACGAGCAATAAATGAAATGAATGGCAATGTCTGTAAATAAAGGGAATAATTCACCCAAATGTGCAACAACGTGGATGATTCTCTTTCTGACAATGATGTAGAACGGCCAAACGTGTAAGCATCAAACACTTTATCGGAGCTAGTGTTGAAAAGCCTGGACCAACCAATAAACTGAATATTCTTTATAGATAATGTTTGTAGTTACATGGGAGTCAACTTCTCTAGAGAGAACTTATCAAATGGAATCTTGGCCTCCCTTTTTCTCTCTCTCTATTCCTATTTATATGAGATATATCTCTTACCTAGCTACTAACAGTACAAGATGCAGAGAATATCCAGTAGAATATTCCCTTAGAATATTCTATTGCAAAAACTAGCCATTTCTGGCCAATCTAAGTGCTTGACTCCGACCTCGGCTCTCGGCTCGTTACGTTGCTTCGGGAACATGACTTCGGACCAATCGACTCTTGAGCATGGCCTATTCTGTTTGTCCTCGACCTCGTCCAGGACGAACTCTTCGGAGGTTTACCCGAGTCATACTTAGCCGAGCCGCATGGCGAATTATTGTCCCCCCACTATAGTTTCTCTTCGCAGTGAATTTCCCTGGTCGGATTTTGGCCCATACACATATAAATAATAGCAATATGCACACGGTCAACATAAACATGAGATGATTATTGATTGCGCCATTGATATGCGATACAAATCTTTATAGTTCAAGGAGTTTGGCAGAGTTTAGTTGACTGAATTCACTTAAATGTATTTACTCCATATATAAGAGGTCAGAATAAACAATAATTTTAGTTCAAATCCTGTATTTATAAAAATTACTTAATATATATAAATAATTTATTTCGAACTCAATAAGGTGAATTTTCTAGAATTTAGAACTCATTAAACTCAAAATACTAACTCCACCACCAGTAGGTATCAAAATTTGATGAGAGTAAAGGGAGTGTAGTTAATAAGTCGTTGAGTGGTGAATTACCATCTATGTTCTGAATATTATTCAAAAATGAGCATAGTTGACATGGTACAGTACTTGTTTTCAAGTGGATATATAAATAAATAGTGGACCTAGGTGGTCAATTGTTATAAATCGATTGCAACCAAAGCAAGGGACACTTCATCTTACAAGCCAGTGTTTTAACGTGTATCAATTAGACTCCCTAACGCTCTCCCCCAACAGGGCATATAGTATTGATTTTCTCAATTCAAATTAGTCAACTTGACCATGTGCATATATAGATAGGATCAGAGAACTCCATATTACGCGTTTGGATCACATTGACTCGATTAAATTCAAAGTCAAGCCGTGATTTAAGAATGAAGAGCCATTATAGAGTTTCACTCCCAAGGTCAAACGGAATAAAAAAAAAACTAAATTTAAACAAAGTTGGGTCATATTTTCCATATACTAATGTTAAATAAGGGTGCGGGGGAAGCTGACAGTTTGGTTATAAATTTGCAACTCTATCGAATACCTTACAATCTAATTATAGCATATGCTTTCTTTCTCTAGCATGGTGACATTCAAACTTCCCTTGTTTTCCAACTACACTTTCTTCTTCCTCTTCCTTTCTTTGTGCTCAGCTGAGGTACTACCTACAACGTTATACCTTCCAGTCACTAAAGATTCATCAACCCTACAATACACTACAGTAATAGGGCAAAGAACACCTTTAGTCCCCATCAAACTCACTGTCCATCTTGGTGGCATAAGTTTATGGGTGGACTGTGACATAGGTTATAATAGTTCAACTTACCATCCAGCTCGCTGCAACTCCACACTATGCTCTTTTGCCAAATCTCATTCCTGTGGAGACTGCATATTCAAACCTCAAATACAGCCCGGATGCAATAACAATACTTGTTATAATTGGGGTGAAAATCCCTTGATTAATACTTATATGGACCGTGCAGAAATCGCTGAGGATGTATTGGCAATTGGTTCTACTCCTGGCATCCTTGTCACTTTGCCGCGGTTTATTTTCAGTTGTGTTGATTCGTCTATGTCGAAAGACCTTGCAGAAGGAGTCACAGGTACTGAATTATGTTGTGTGACGTACTATTTTATTGGACCGATTAAACTGTTAGAAAGAGCTAGCGCACTTTTTTTACTCAATTATGTTACTTCCATGTACCGACACGTCCTTCACGTGTCGAACCCATGACCTCTTAATTACCTGCTCTAATCCTCCTCTAAAACTTTAATCGGTTAGACTGAAGACACTTTTTAATTACTCAATTATATAATGTCTCAATACAGGAATTGCAGGTTTTGGACACCAAAGTCCAGTTTCGATCCCTAATCAACTCGCTTTAGACCCTAGATTTGCCAGGAAGTTTGGTATTTGCTTGAGCTCATCTACAAGTTCTCGTGGAGTTATCTTCATTGGTTCAGGCCCATATAATTTTTACAACCCTAAGAAGGTTGATATCTCCAACAATCTTGTCTATACCAAACTAATCACAAATCCCAGGGCATTTTTGCAATCTTCAGAGTACCATATCGAAGTTTCATCCATTCGAATCGCAGGGAAAGACGTGCCACTGAATAAAACACTGCTATCTATAAATAAAAAAAATGGAGTAGGTGGGACGAGAATCAAAACAACGACACCTTTCACAATCTTGGACAATAGCATTTACAATGCTGTTAAAACTGCTTTTCTCATGGCGCTTCCTAAGAATGTGACAATTGTAGAACCTCCCATGAAACAATTTGGAGCTTGCTTTAGTTCAAAAAACATTAGAAACACAAACGTTGGACCAGATGTTCCTGTGATAGATTTTGTCTTGCACAAGAAGAGTGCATATTGGAGGATTTATGGGGCAAATTCAGTGGTACAAGTTACAAAGGATGTTATGTGTTTAGCTTTTGTTGGAGAAGACCAAACTTGGGAACCATCGATTGTGATAGGAGGGCATCAAATGGAAGAGAACTTGTTGGTATTTGACCTAGCAAGAAAGAGGATTGGTTTCAGCTCCTCCCTCAAGCTTCAAAAAACATCATGTGCTAAGTATGATTACACCTCTAAGAGTTAATTAAAAGTCTTTTTACTAAGGCAGATGATGAATTCTTATTTTTCATTTCAGTTTTCCTTTTTCTTAATCTTTTTTTATTGTTTTTAAACTGTTTCTATGCACGTTGGAGTCAACAAGAGTAGCATGTTGAGCTTATCAAATAGAGTAAGATAAGAGAGATCTTTGATTGTTAATTTGTTGCCATAAGTGTTCTGAAGTTAATTTATGTCTTTACAAGCTTTCCGTTGTGTTTCCTATTGGCAATATATATGTCAAGTTGTACTACTTAATTAATTTTATGAACATCGTCTTCAAGAAGTTCCATTTCTAGCTACTTAATCTTTCCTTAGCCTCCTCAAAAAAAAAAAAAAAAAAAAAAACATAGGCGCTCTTCCAAACTTCATGTGGTGACTTCGGGATTATAAACTGATTACAGCGCAGCAAAAGCCAAAAAATTTCGAACACACCAAAGCAATTGTGATGTTTCAATACCACATAATAGGGGTGATTTGTGTGATGTCCAATTTTTCGGGTGCACAGATTATAGAAGGATTTGGTTCTTCTACGAGTCCCTTACACTACTGTTGCGGAATAATAAATGTAGAAAATAAAGAATACAAGTATTTTTACGTGGAGAACATCCGGCTCAAAAGGTAAAAAAACCTCGACCTACTTCCCAGCAGGATTTTTTCCAACACTTCACTAAATCACTCAGCAAAACAACAACGTTTACAAAACTCTTGTAAACCTAAGGATTACCTCTAACCCTTGTAGCATCCAGCCACAGGTTGTGCGACAGCTTCAAGTTAACTCTAACTTGAACAATACAACTCAAAGTACCTAGTACAAATGCTTCTAAAGAAAGTTGAAAGGTACAACTCAAAAGCCGTAATACAATTGAACTAGAATAAAAGGCAGACACATGGAACTGGTTCTTCTATCTGGTTCACGTAGCTTCAGGTTCACACACTTGAAACACACAGGAATTGTTTGCAAAATATCTTGCTATCTTGCTCTCAATTCTTGCTTAACTTCAGCGTTTGTGTGTCACCTGTAAAAAAAAACACAACTGATATATATAGAGTTAGTAGAATAAGGATTAGCTAGAGTTCTAATGCTTTACTATTCCATGGTGGAAGGATTCTAGTTATTTTCAACTTCTAACTCCTCCCTTATCTAGGATAGAGTTCTCTTCAAGTAAGGAGTCATGCTCCTTATCAATTATGTAATCTTTTCGTTCAGGAAATATCAGACATAACCATTTATGCTTATCCCCTTCATGTGCATGCCTTGTGCTTGAATCTACCCGTGCCCTGTGTACACTATGTATGAGACCTGGTTCATGCATGTGTTCTTACTAAGGCCAAAAAATTCCCCCTTTTTGATGATGACAAACTCTGTGCTTTTCATAAGCATGAAACCGGTTTCAACTCAGCTCAGCATCAAAACAATGTTAAAACACTTTCCATTTTAAAGTCACAAATCATCAAGAACCTGGTTCATTAGGTTATAAACATCATAGTCCAAAGCTAAAGCACCCTATTAAGGAGCTGGATTATAAATCCCAGCCAGTTGATCTGCCTCACACTACCCAAGCACTCCATAAGGACCTGTCCATAAAAGTAGCAATGTGCCTTCTCTCCTTCCTAGGTAGAACTTTGTTGACAAATTCAAAGAGCACTTTGTGGGCAGGAGTCATCTCACTCTTATAGACAGCCCTGGGTCGTAGCTCTAAATCCCTATCAGCAAACTTCTTGGTGATGGCAAGTGATGTAGGTAAATTCTCTAGACTTGGCCACTTTAACTAATATAGTCATTGTATCCTTCAGCATGTATCCTTAGAATCTCCCCAGCTATTTATCATCAAAGCTCACTGATGATAGGCTATAATTGCGTATTTTAGTCGCTTATTACACTCTAATTTACTGCACTTTTATTGAGTTTGCTCTTTAATTGCTAGTGTTTTACACTAATTGTGTGTTTTATGCTTTGTAGGAGTGATTCCGAGCTATGTAGAGGTTATGTAATGAATTCAAGTGATTTGGAGCTTTGAAGTCTAAGTAAAAGCCCAAGGAATTAAGCCGGAATCGTGTTTGGGGATCAAGGGATGATAGTTAAGAACGAACGATGAATCGAGTAGGCATATTATGCACTGTCTAGTAGTACACATAACTTTTCCCTCAGAACTCCATTTGGGCTCCACAATATATGGTTGGAAAGCTAACTCAAAGGGATACAACTTTAGTGTTTATGTTTTCCCAAATTCCAAATAGAACAGGGTGAAAAGTGCGCGTCAAGTGTGCGGCCGCGCTCGTCAGGCAGAATCAAAGTGGATATGTGCGGTCCAAGCGCGGCCGCGCACGTACTTCCCGGGAAAGTGTCCTTTTTCGCATTGGAGAAGGTATAATTGTTTGGGCCCGACCCTACTTGGTATATATACATGGAAGAATGGTATTTTGAGGAGGTTGGACAGATTTGAGACACAGAGTCGACCTAAGGAGGCAGAGTCACAATAGGAGTAAGGCGGGGAATTCTTCTACGAGTTTTACCTTCCTCTTCCTATTTCTCATTGTTGGTTATGACTTTTAGTATCGTAGTTTTACATACTATTATGAATAGCTAATTTGTTATCTAGGGTTTTGATGGAACCTTTTGTAGGATAAATTCTTGTTATGTTTTTATATAATTGAGCTGTAGTATTTTCTCTATTTGTTCAACTATATTATTCTTGTGGTTGATTGAAGGGCCCTCAATTAGCTGTGCCTATTTAGTATGTATTACTCGGGAGAGAATGCATATTTAGGTAGTTGTTGAACAACATCACTCTTGGCGTATGTGAGGAATCAATAACCAAGGGTTTAAAGGTGGGATTAAGGATAACGAAACCTTGGGTGCGATCTAAGTGAGCTGTAATTAAAGCCAGCTAGCGTAACTCGGGAGAGTATGTCTAGTAAATTGTCGTAATTACTGGGGAGAGAATTACAAAACGCAGAGGGCTCATGATCGGTAGAGAATACTTTGGTGAAATTATAGAAGACATAGCGGGAAGAATTCCGACAATTGGGGAAATCATATCTCTAGACCTCCTTAATCTTGTCTCCAATCCTTATCCTTGTTAATTGATAGTTTTACTGCTTTCTAGTATTTGTTAGTTAATTAGATAAAAATAAACATTATAATCTTTTATAGTTAGGAAATTGTTCGGACTTGTATTTCTTAGCGACATTGAACAATTGTAGCTAAGCCTTAGTTCTCTGTGCGATTCAACTCCGGACTCTTAGACCGGATTATTTTTGTTGCGACCTCTAATCCTTTATAAGGCATAGTTGGGCGTGATCAAATTTTGGCGTCGTTGCCGGGGAACTAACGGTGTTGTTGTAGGTGTACTTATTTCTAGGTTGCAAGTTTGAACTGTTATTTTTGTTTTCGTGTATTTGATTATTTATTTATTTTTAATTTTTTTATTTTTGATCTGAGAGACATGGCATCTTGGAATTATGAGAGTTTTGATGTTGGTAATTCTACTTTTGATCCTCGTTATGCATATTGTGGAGGAAACCACGCAGGGCAAAATTATCAAAATATTTCCGAGAGCGAGTTATGTGCACCAACTCAATCATATGTGTGGAATGTGTGTGATATGTATGGTGGTCAAGATGGTCACTTTCATGGTTGTGCTTATATTTCTTATCTTCCCCCAACCCTTTATTTTGATGGTTATTCTTTTTCTTGTGATGTTCATAGGAACAAAGAACCCAGGTATGAGGACCTGAAAGAGATTGACGATATGCTAAAGTGCCTTATGGAACAATATGATGAGATACAACTGCGGGTACAAAGGCAAGGGGCAACTATTCACAACTTGGAGGCTCAAGCGAATAAATTAATTGAACCTTGTAAAGCGCAACAAGTTGACATTGTGGATAGTAGCCAATATGAGTATGAATTGGCTGCAGAAATTGCCATTATACTGGAGGATTTAAAAAATACGAGGATGAGCTAGAGGAGAAGGCCAGAGAGTAGAACCAACAATCAATCGAACTAGATTTTGAGGATGCCGATGTCGTAGAAGAGATACAAGAGTCAACCAAGGATATTGAGGATACATATTTAGTTGACTCTAGTATCATTAGTGCTAAGGATGTTGATAATCCCAATGTTTGTGTAGTTGAGCGGATTGGTCCACACTCCAAGCATTTTTCAACATTGTGTATGGATGATGATATGAAAATAGAGTCATCCGAGCCACTTGAGGAGTCAAGGAGTAAGGAACAAGATGCCTACATTCTGGAATTTTCATGCCAGAAAGTCGGGAATACACATCTCATCCAAAGGCCAAGAAGTGCAGAATACTACATTATTGTATTGGGCCAGTCAGATTCGTTCTACCACCCCAGGAGCATGATCACAGAGCAGAATCAAAACTTGGGGTCCAATTAATATGTTCGAAGTTGTAACGACCCGGTTGTTTTGAGCTTTTGCACTTTGCTCGCCAGTTCTCGGGAATGACTTGCCCCGTGTAGTGTATTATGACTTATGTAAATTGTTGGTTTTGGTTTTCAGGGTGATCAGAATGAATTTGAAAGAACAGTTCTCAGTTTGAAGCTTGAAATTTGAAAGGTTTGACCAAGATTTGACTTGTTAATATATGATCTCGAATTAGAATTTTTATGATTTAGTTAGCTCCATTAGGTGATTTAGGACTTAGGAGCGTAATCGGAATGTGTTTTGGAGGTCCGGAGTAGATTTAGGCTTGAATTGGCGAAATTGAGTTTTTGGCGTTTTCCGGCTGATAGGTGAGATTTTGATATAGGGGTCGGAATGGAATTCTGGAAGTTGCAGTAGCTTCGTTATATCATTTGGGATGTGTGTGCAAAATTTCAGGTAATTTTGGACGTGGTTTGGTTGGGTTTTTTATCAAAAGCGGAATGCGGAAGAATTTAGAACCTTAGGCTTGAATTCGATGAGTTTTGGTGATTTTGATATTGTTTGAGGTGTTTTGAAGATTGGTACCAGTTTGAATAAGGTTACGGGATATGTTTGTACTTTTGGTTGAGGTCCCGGGGGGCTCGGGGTGATTTCGGATGGTTGACGGAAGAGTTTGAGGTTTTGAGAAGTTGTAGATTTTTGCTGCTTCTCGTGTTTCCGCACCTGCGGATTGGGGACCGCAGGTGCGATGCAATAGATGCGGAAAAGGTGATCGCAGAAGCGGAAAAATGCCTGGAAAGGCAGGAACCGCAGATGTGGTTGTGGGGACCGCACCTGCGAAGGCGCAGATGCGGTTTGGGCTGAGTTAAGTGAAAGCCGCAGAAGCGGCT